TTTGTTTTTAACATACTGCTGTTATTTGTTTATTTATTAGACAGAGTCTCATTCTGTTGCCCAGGCTGGAGTGCAGTGGTGCAATCTCAGCTCACTGCAACCTTTGCCTCTTGACTTCAAGTGATTCTCCTGCCTCAGCCTCCCGTGTAGCTGCTGGGATTATAGGTGTGTGCCACCATGCTCAGCTAATTTTTGTATTTTTAGTAGAGACAGAGTTTCACCACATTGGCCAGGCTGGTCTCGAATTCCTGACCCCATGATCTGCCCGCCTCAGCCTCCCAAAGTGCTGGGATTACAGGCGCGAGACACTGCACCCGGCCAGGTCACCTGTATTTTAAATTTTGTGGGTCATTTGGTCTCTTTCCTAACCACTCTATTCTGCCTTTTCAGCATAAAGCAGCCATAGACAATATAAATGAATGAATGTGGCTGTTTTCTAATAAAACTTTATTTATGAACACTAAACCTCCTTTTTTTTTTTTTTTTTTTTTTTTTTGAGACAGAGTCTTGCTCTGTTGCCCACGCTGAATCTTTGCTCACTGCAACTGATGCCTCCCAGGTTCAAGTGATTCTCCTGCCTCAGCCTCCTGAGTAGGTGGGACTACAGGCATTCAACACCACACCTGGCTAATTTTTGCATTTTTAGTAGAGAATGGGTTTCGCCACATTGTCCAGGCTGGTCTTGAACTCCTGGCCTCAGGTGATCCGCCCATCTCCCACCTCCCAGAGTGCTAAGATTACAGGCATGAGCCACCACGCCCAGCCTAAACTTTCACATATATAAAAGCAAATACAATTTAAAAGGCTTAAGAGGCCAGTCATGGTGGCTCACATCTGTAATCTCAGTACTTTGGGAGGCTGAGCCGGGTAGATCACTTGAGGTCAGGAGTTTGAGAGCAGCCTGGCTAATGGTGCCAAAACCCCATTTCCACTTAAAATACAAAATTAGTTGGGCATAGTGGCAGGTGCCTGTGGTCCCATCTACTTGGGAAGCTGAGGCAGCCGAATCACTTGAACCTGGGAGGTGGAGGAGCCGAGACTGCCCCACTGCACTCCAGCCTGAGTGGCAGAGTGACACTGTTTTAAAAAAACAAATAAAATAGCTGCTGGGCACGGAGGCTCACGCCTGAAATCTCAGCACTTTGGGAGGCTGAGGCAGGCAGACCATGAGGTCAGGAGATCGAGGCCATCCTGGCTAACACAGTGAAACCCCATCTCTACTAAAAATACAAAAATTAGCCGAGCATGGTGGCACGCACTTGTAGTCCCAGCTACTTGGGAAGCTGAGGCAGGAGAATCGCTTGAAACTGGAAGGTGGAGGTTGCAGTGACCCGAGATCACACCACTGCACTCCAGTCTGGGCAACAGAATCAACAAAATAAATAAAATAAAATAAAATAAAATAAAAGCCTTGGGTGAGATGTGTGCCCTGAGTCATGCAGCTTGCAGGTGTAACCTCTGCTTCTTAGATCATAGGTTAACCTTCTTCCTCATTGCTCTTGTTCTGTAAATGGCTAGGACAGACCAGAGACTACGCCTCCTCCACTTGTAACCGCTGACCTTTGATTACAGGTTAACTGCCTCCAGGATTGTCCTGTACCTAACTCAGACCAGATGGCACACGAGATGCCAAGACTGTTAACATCTTCAGGATGAAATGTTAAATACGCCTTCTCAGAAGAAAAAGACCACCTTGTCTAATCAGATCATGGCAATTATGTATCAAGCCTTGCATAGAAAGATGTCAAAATTCTGTTAAGCTTCCCTCAACTTTGTCTGTACCAATGATCCCAAACTTCTACACTTCAAAACACTGACTTCTGTTTTTTGGGATCTGCTTTCCGAACAGTTGTCCTCAAACTTTCAGCTTGAATTAGCTCTTCCCCCACTACTCCCAGAGATGGAGTCTCGTGCCCAGGCTGGAGTGCAGTGAAGCAATCTCTGTTCACTGCAACCTCTGCCTCCTGGGTTCAGGCGATTCTCTTGCCTCAGCCTCTCCATTAGCTGGAATTACAGACATGTGCCACCACGCCTGGCTAAGTTTTGTGTTCCTAGTAGAGATGGGGTTTCACTGTGTTGGCCAGGCTGGTCTCAACCTCTTTTTTTTTTTTTTTTTTGAGACGGAGTTTTGCTGTTGTTACCCAGACTGGAGTGCAATGGCGCGATCTCAGCTTACCGCAACCTCCGCCTTCTGGGTTCAAGCAATTCTCCTGCCTCAGCCTCCTGCGTAGCTGGGACTACAGGTGTGCACCACCACGCCCAGCTAATTTTTGTATTTTTAGTAGAGAAGGGGTTTCACCTCATTGATCAGGATGGTCTCAATCTCTTGACCTCATGATCCACCCGCCTCGGCCTCCCAAACTGCTGAGATTATAGGTGTGAGCCACCACACCCGGCCCCATATTTTTCTTTTTCTTTTTTTTTTTTGTGAGACGGAGTTTCGCTCTTGTTACCCAGGCTGCAGTGCAATGGCACAATCTCGGCTCATCGCAACCTCTGCCTCCTGGGTTCAAGCAATTCTCCTGCCTCAGCCTCCTGAGTAGCTGGGATTACAGGCGCGCACCACCATGCCCAGCTAATTTTTGTATTTTTAGTAGAGACGGGGTTTCACCATGTTGACCAGGATGGTCTCGATCTCTTGACCTCGTGATCCACCCGCCTTGGCCTCCCAAAGTGCTGGGATTACAGGCGTGAGCCACCGCACCCGGCCCCATATTTTTCTTTTTAATGCAAACATTAAAATGAGAGGAGGAGCCCATTTTTCCCTCTGAGGGGAACAGCCCTTGATCCCCATGTGCACTTGACTAGCATCTTTTAAGAGGGGCAATTTTGGTAATGGATACTCATAACACATTTTTTTTTTTTAAGATGGAGTCTTGGCCTGTCACCAGGCTGGAGTGCAGTGGTGCAATCTGGGCTCACTGCAACCTCCACCTCCTGGGTTCAAGCAATTCTCCTGCCTCAGCCTCCCGAGTAGCTGGGACTATAGGTGTGTGCCACCATGCCTTGCTAATTTTTTCTATTTTAGTAGAGACAGGGTTTCACCACATTGGCCAGAATGTTCTCCATTTCCTGACCTTGTGATCCACTCACCTCAGCCTCCCAAAGTGCTGGAATTACAGGCGTGAGCCACCATGTCTGGCCAACACATTTATATAAATATAATCCAAAGGTTAAACACCATTGAATATGTGACAGTGCTTCTTGTATGATTTTATTTATTTATTTTTTTGAGACGGAGTTTCTTTCGTTACCCAGTCTGGAGTGCAATGGCACGATCTTGGCTCACCGCAACCTCCGCCTTCTGGGTTCAAGCAATTCTCCTGCCTCAGCCTCCCGAGTAGCTGGGACTACAGGTGTGCACCACCATGCCCAGCTAATTTTTGTATTTTTAGTAGAGACGGGGTTTCACCTTGTTGACCAGGATGGTCTTGATCTGTTGACCTCATGATCCACCTGCCTCGGCCTCCCAAAGTGCTGGGATTACAGGCGTGAGCCACCGTGCCCGGCCTCTTGTATGATTTTATTATGCCAAATAAGCTGAATATGTCTCCTTGGACTTCAGGGGACCTAATACCAATAAAATAATAGTAATAGTAATAATAATAATAGGCCAAGCACCTTGGCTCACGTTTATAATCCCAGCACTTTGGGAGGCTAAGGGGAGGATCACTTGAGGCCAGGAGTTTGAGAGCAGCCTGGGTAACATGATGAAACCCTGTCTCTAAAAAAATTAGCCTGAAACAGGCATGGTGGTGCATGCCTGTAATCCCAGCTCCTAGGGAGCCTGAAACAGGAGAATTGCTTGAATCCTGCCGGTGGTTTGAGTGAGCCAAAATCGTACCACTGCACTCCAGCCTGGGAAACAGAGACGGACTCCTGCTTTAAAAAAAAAAAAAAAGGAGCAATCTTCGGCAATAAAGAGAGAGGAGGCCAGGTGTGGTGACTCACACCTGTAATCCCAGCTCTTTGAGAGGCTAAGGCAGGTGGATCACAAGATCAGGAGTTCGAGATTAGCCTGGCCAACATGGTGAAACCCCTTCTGTACTAAAAATACAAAAATTAGCTGGGTGTGCTGGCGTTCGCCTGTAGGCCCAGCTACTCAGGAGGCTGAGACAGGAGAATTGCTCAAACCTGGGAGGCGGAGGTTGCAGTGAGCCAAGATCATGCCACTGCACTCCAGCCTGGGCAACAGAACAAGACTCTTTCTAAAAAAAAAAAAAAAGAAAAAGAAAGAGAAAGAAAGAAAGGAAAATAAATGAAAAGAAAGAAAGAAAGAAGGAAAAGAAAAGAAAGGAGAGAGAAAACAACAACAAAAGATAAGGAAGCCTTGCCTTAAAGTCTATGCCTTAAGGTCTTCATGTGTAAAATGGGAATAAAAGCTTTTGGCTGTGCCGTAACTACCTTGAAAGGTTGCTATGGAAAATGTAACATTAGGCTCGATTTGGTCCTGATTCTACACTAACCTTTATCTTTCTCTTTATGACCATAAAAGTTCCCCGACGAGACTCTAAAATGCCCAAAACGGGAGTCATTGGTGGACTGCACCCATCGGTTTCTCCAGTGCTCTGTGGGGAGGGGAAATAACACCGGTTAGAGCTGATAACAGTTAATTTGCGTCGAGGGAAAGGTGAGGGGGACCCTCGAATAATTGAGGGTTCGCTGCCATCGACCCCGCGGCGACTCTGGCCAGCCCTAGAGGGGAGGAGATAGGGGAGCTTACACCCCTGCCACCACGGGCGTCACCCCTTCACCTCCGTCTAGAAATTCCTCTTGGAAATAAACGGTAGCCAGCGCCACCCGCAGCAAGCAGATGGCCCAGAGTGGGACCGGAGCCCCGGCCATGGGGGCGTGCACTACGCTTCCTGGCGCCACCGCCCCTTCGCTTCCGGCGGTCTCTGCGGCTCTTCAGGCGCGCCCCGAAACTACCACTCCTGTCACGTCTCGTGATTATGACCTGAGGTCTCATAGGTCGCTGCGGCGCGGGGCACGTCGGGCCCGTCCCGGAACTACCACTCCCATGATGCCCCGCGATTGTGATTCGGGGTGCCATTGGTCCCCGGGACGCTGTGCTTCCCGGGAGTTGTAGTCCCTTCTGGCTCTGTTGCTCAGGGCAACTGCTCTCTCAGGCCTGAATGTGGTGGCAGTCTCTGCGAATGGACACACTGGGAGGAGGTCGGCAGGGCTGGTGGGGAGGTGACGCGGCTGAGCGCATGGGCTCGCGAGAGGAGATACGGGGAAGTCGGGCTTGCTCTGGAGGTGAGCTGGTCGGGAGGCTGCAGGGTGGTCCCGCGCCTCAGTTTCCCTGTCTGAGGTCTGTTGAGTTCAGTGCGGGTCGCTTCATAGCAGGGGAGAAGAGCAGGATGGTCTGAGGGGCGCCAGGGTTTTCAAATTTTGGTTTGTTGATTTTTAACAACTTTATTGAGCTACAGTTTGCATACCATAGTGTTTACCACTTTTAAGCTGACGACTCGGTTATTTTTAGTAAGTCTTCAAAGTTGTGAAGCCGTCGCCACCATTCAGCTCATCCAGCTTTAGAACTCTGCAGCAGGCTGGGCGCGGTGGCTCCTGCCTGGAATCCCAGCACTTTGAGAGGCAGAGGCGGAACAGTCACTTGAGGCCAGGAGATTCAGAGTAGCCTAGGCAACATGGCGAGACCCCATCTCTAAAAAAGATAAAAATAAATAATTAGCCAGGTGCAGTGGTACATGCCTGTAGTCCCAGCTACTCGGCATGTGGAGTCGGGAGGGAAGATTGCCTGTGTCTAGGAGGTCGAGGCTGCTGTGAGCTGTGATCAGGCCACTGCCCTCCAGCCTGGGTGGCAGAGCGAGACCCCTACTCAAAACAAAACAAAACAAAAAACAAAACTAAACTTTCTATTACCCAAGGAGATTGCTTCGTTCCTTTGCAATCTGTCCTCACTCACACCCACAGTTCCAGGGAACCGCTCATCTGCCTTCCTTTTTTTTGTTTGTTTGAGGTCTCACTCTGTCGCCCAGGCTAGAGTGCAATGGCACGATCTCAGCTCACTGCAACCTTCGTCTCCCAGTTTCAAGGATTCTCCTGCCTCAGCCTCCCGAATAGCTGGGATTACAGGCGCACACCACCATGCTCAACTAATCTTTGTATTTTTAGTAGAGATGGTGTTTCACCATGTTTGCCAGGCTGGTCTTGAACTCCTGACCCCAGGTGATCTGTCAGCCTCAGCCTCCCAAAGTGATGGGATTACAGCCACCACGCCGGCCCAATCTGCTTTCTGAGTTTATTGGTTTGCCTTTTCTGGACAGTTCTTAAAAATAAAATCATAGGGTGTGCGGAGTTAGTGTCTGGCTGCTTTCCCTTAGTATGACATATTTGAGGTTCGTGCATGCTGTTATATTCGTATTTGTCTTTTTAAAATTGCTGAACAGTATTCCACTGTATGGATGGACCATAGTTTGTAATCCATTTCACTAATTAATGGACATTTACACTGGTTCCCCTTTTAGTCTGCTAGGAGTAGTAGGTATTATGGGGCCAGGTGTGGTGATGTGGGACTGTAATCCCAGCACTTTGGGAGGCTGAGGCTGGCGGATCGCTAGAACCGGGGAACTGGAGAACAGCCTGGGCAACACAGTGAGACGTTGTGTCTGCAAAAAGTTAGCCAGGCATGGCGATGTGTGTTTGTAGTCACAGCTACCCAGGAGGCTGAGGTGGGAGGATCGCGTGACCCTGGGAAGTCAAGGCTGTAGTGAGCCATGATTGCACCACTGCACTGTAGCCTGGACAACAGAGTGAGAGACTGTCTCAAAAAAACAAAATAAAACTATTATGAACATTTGCATTCATGTTCATTTCTCTTGGGTCATGTAGGAGTGTAATTCCTGGGTCGTATGGTAACTCTGTGTCTAACCTTTTGAGGAACTAACTATTCTCCACATTAGGGACTGTATCATTTTACAATTTCCCAGCAACATCTCTCTCTCTCTCTCTCTCTCTTTTTTTTAGGAACAGGGTTGGCCAGGCATGGTGGCTCATCCCTGTAATGCCAGTACTTTGGGAAGCTGAGGCGGGTAATTCACAAGGTCAAGAGTTCAACCCCAGCCTGGCCAAGATGGTGAAACCCCGTCTTTACTAAAACTACAAAAATTTCCCAGGCACAGTGGCGAGTGACTGTAATCCCAGCTACTCGGGAGGCTGAGGCAGGAGAATCACTTGGGCCCAGGCAGCAGAGGTTGCAGTGAGCCGAGATTTCTATACTCCAGCCTGGGCATCAGAGTGAGATTTGGTCTTAAAAAAAAAAAAAAGAAAAGAAACAGGGTCTTGCCCTGTCATCCAGGCTGGGTGCAGTGGCACAATCAGGGCTCACTGCAGCCTCAAACTCCTGGGCTCAAGCAATCCTCCCACCTCAGCCTCCTGAGTAACTGGGACTAGACGTGTATGACACCAAACCCAGCTAATTTTTAAATTTTTTGTAGAGATGGGGTCCACCTATGTTGCCCAGGCTGATCTTGAACTCTTGGGCACAAGTGATCCTCCCGTCTTGGCCTCCCAAAGTACTGGGATTATGGGCATGAGCCACTGTGGGCTTCAATCTCTTCACTTTCTCACCGACACTTGTTATGTGTATTTTTGATTATAGTCATCCTCGGGAATGTGAAGTAGTAGCTCCTCGTGGTTTTTTCCTTTTTTTTTTTGAGACGGAGTTCCACTCTGTCATCAGGCTAGAGTGCAGTGGTATTGATCCTGGTTCATTGCAACCTCCGCCTCCTGGGTTCAAGCAGTTCTTTTACCTCGCCTCGAGAGTAGCTGGGATTACAGGCATGCGCTCCCCCATGCCCAACTAATTTTTGTATTTTTTTTAGTTGGAGTTTCGCTCTTGTTACCCAGGCAATGGTAACTCTTGTTACCGAGAGTGCAATGACGCGATCTCGGCTCACCGCAACCTCCGCCTCTTGGGTTCAAGCAATTCTCCTGCTTCAGCCTCCCCAGTAACTGGGACTATAGGCGCACGCCACCATGTCCAGCTAATTTTTGTATATTTAGTAGAGATGGGGTTTCACCTTGTTGACCAGGATGGTCTCAATCTCTTGACCTCATGATCCACCCGCCTCGGCCTCCCAAAGTGCTGGGATTATAGGCATGAGTCACCGCGCCTGGCCCAATTTTTGTATTTTTAGTGGAGACAGGGTTTCACCATGTTGGCCAGGCTGGTCTCGAACTCCTGACCTCAGGATGTGCCCACCTCGGCTTCCCAAAGTGCTGGGATTAAGGCGTGAGCCACCATGCCCAGCCAGTCCTTGTGGTTTTGATTTGCATCTCTGTAATGACTAGTGACATTGAACAGCTTTTCATATGCTTATTAGTTTTTTTTTTTAATGAGGTTTCAGGCCCTGTCTTTTTTTTTTTTTTTTTTAAGACGGGGTTTCACCATATTGGTCAGGCTGGTCTTGAACTCCCGACCTCAGGTGATCTGCCTACCTTGGCCTCCAAAGCGCTTGGATTACAGGCATGAGCTACTACTCCCGGCCGCTTATTAGTTATTTATATGTAGTTTTTACGTATTCAGAGTATCTGTTTACATCTTTTGCCCCTTGGTTTATTTTATTTTATTTTGAGACAGAGTTTTGCTGTTGTTGCTCGGGTTGGAGTTCAATGGCGCGATCCTGGTTCACCGCAACTTCTGCCTCTTGGGTTCAAGCAATTCTCCTGCCTCAGCCTCCTGAGTAGCTAGGATTACAGGCATGTGCCACCACATCTGGCTAATTTTATATTTTTAGTAGAGATGGGGTTTCTCCACATTAGCCAGGCTGGTCTTGAACTCCTGACTTTGGGTGATCTGCCCGCCTCGACCTCCTAAAATGCTGGGATTATAGGCATGAGCCACAGTGCCTGACTGCCCACTGGTTTATTATAACTGTTGTGTTTTAAATATACGTATATAATTTTAGTTGTAGTAAAATATATATGGTGTCAAATTTGCCTTTTGAACCATTTTTTCATTGGTTTAATTTGGAACCCAAGGAAACTTCTAGAAGAACTAAATCCAGAAAATTTGGCCTAATAGTCAGGTCTTCCTTCTGACTCATATAGAATGACCCAGGCTGAGCCATCTCCTGAGCTTTGGCTACAGATACTACCAGAGAGTTGTTGACGTTCTCCCGGCACTGTGTGTGTGTGTGAAGCAACGTGCTAGGGACCTTAGTTATCTTGTCCTCTCATCTGAAAGGTAACCCATTATGCAAGTGGTCCAGATACTTCCATTACTGCCTTTTTTTTGAGACAGAGTCTCCCTCTGTTGCCCAGGTAGGCTGGCAGTGGCTCACTGCAGCCTCCACCTCCTGGGTCAAGCAATTCTCCTGCTTCAGCCTCCTAAGTAGCTGGGACTATAGGTGCCTGTCACCATGCCCAGCTAATTGTTTTATTATTGTTATTTTTTAGTAGAGACAGGGTTTTGCTATGTTGGCTAGGCTGGTCTCGAACTCCTGACCTCAAGTGCTCCACCTGCCTTGGCCTCCCAAAATGCTGGGATTATAAGCGTGAGCCGCTGCACCTAGCCCTTACTGCCATTTAAATGTTACTGAGCACTTTTGCACGTCCCACTCGGAATATATAGGAATCCTATGAGAGTAATAGTTACTATTTATTTATTTATTTTGAGATGGCGTCTCACTCTGTCACCAGGCTGGAGTGCAGTGGTGCGATATTGGCTCACTGCAACCTACACCTCCTGGGTTCAAGCGATTCCCCTGCCTCAGCCTCCTGAGTAGCTGGGACTACAGGTGCATGCCACCACGCCTAGCTAATTTTTGTATTTTTATTAGAGATGGGGTTTCTCCATGTTGACCAGGATGGTCTCCATCTCTTGGCTTCTCGATTCGCCCTCTTTGGCCTCCCAAAGTGCTGGGATTACAGACATGAGCCACCGCGCCTGGCCTGGTCATTTTTATTGTCATCCTTGGGCTTGAAGGGAAGGCTGTGGCTGGGTTGCAAAAGACAGTGTGACCTTTAGCCAAGTGGGGGCCATTGAATGCACAATACAAACAGCAGGTAATCTTTTTTTTTTGAGACAGAGTTTCGCTCTTGTTGCCCAGGCTGGAATGCAGTGGCGTCATCTCTGCTCACCGCAACCTCTGCCTCCTGTGTTCAAACCATTCTCCTGCCTCAGCCTTCCAAGCAGCTGGGATTACAGGCATGTATCACCACGCCCGGCTGATTTTGTATTTTTAGTAGAGACAGGGTTTCTCCATGTTGATCAGGCTTGTCTCGAACTCCTGACCTCAGGTGATCCGCCTGCCTTGGCCTCCAAAAGAGCTTTGATTACAAGCCTCTTACTCGAAATTCTCTCCCCTTCTCCTGCAGAATGGATTCTGCAAGAAAAGCCAGCTGTCCCATGCGTGATGTTTCTGGTGACTTCGGCGATAGTTTCCTAGAAGATGCAACAATGGAAGAAATCAGAAACCACCAGATCAGTAGAAATCTTACCAAAATAGCACCTGGGCATAGCAGATTTCTGAAAAGAAACCAAACTCTAGGTGAAAAACACTTACACCTGAAAGAGAACGCTGCGCTGGGGAGTGGACCCAGGCTTGCCTCAAGTAGACTGCCCACTGCGTCCGGGATCCGAGCCAATGCCGCACTCATGAAGCTGGCCCAGCTAGAAACCCGGATCATGAATCGGAAGCTGCAGAGGAATCTGTCTGGTGCAGAGCCTGACTCAGTGAACACTGAAGCCAGTCTTCCAAAGAGAGCTGACAAAATTCCCACCGGGGGCCCAGTTGAACTTTCGTCCCAGAACACAGAAAAAACTTCCCAGAAACAAGCCCATGAACTTCCTGTCACCGAAAATAATGCACAGAACGCGAAGGTCAGTAGGTTTCTAAAGAAGAAACTACCACCTGCTGAAAACGTATCCCCTGAAGCACCAGTTGGGAAAGAGAGGACTTTGCAAACCTCCAAACAGAAGAAAGAAACTGCTAGAACATTTGATTCTCCAGACAGTGACGAAGAGGAAATTAAAGCATTGCTAGGAAGCTTGATGGACTCTTCCAGAGAAAAAGAAACAAAGCAAGGCTCCAGCAGCGCTGAAGTTAGTGAGGAAGAAGAGAGAAAACTGTTTTCGGTAAGGTGTTTTTTCAAAAAATTTATTTTTATTATTTTTTTCAGACAGAGTTTCACTCTTGTCATCCAGGCTGGAGTGCAGTGGTATGATCTTGGCTCACTGCAACCTCCACCTCCCAGGTTCAAGCAATTCTCCTGCCTTGGCCGGGAGTGGTGGCTCGTGCCTGTAATCCAAGCACTTTGGAGGCCAAGGTGGGCGGATCACCTGAGGTCGGGAGTTCAAGACCAGCCTGACCAACATGGTGCAATTCCATCTTTTTAAAAAAAAAAAAAAATTCTCCTGCCTTAGCTTCCCGAGTAGCTGGGACTACAGGTGTGTACCACCTTGCCTGGCTAATTTTTTTTTTTTTGTATTTTTAGTAGAGACGGGGTTTCACCATGTTAGACAGGATGGTCTCGATCTCCTGATCTTGTAATCTGCCTGCTTTGGCCTCCCAAAATGCTGGGATTATAGGCATGAGTCACGGCACCCTGACTGTTTTTTATTTTTTACTTTATTTATTTTTTTTGAGATGGAGTCTTGCTCTGCCTTTCAGGCTAGAGTGCATTGACATGATCTTGGCTCAGTGCAACCTCCATCTTCCAGATTCCAAAGATTCTCATGCCTCAGTCTCCCAAGTAGCTGGGGTTATAGGCACCTGCCACCACATCCCCCTAATTAATTATTTGTTTATTTTATTTTATTTTGAGATGGAGTTTCGCTTTTGTTGCCCAGTCTGGAGTGCAATGGTGTGATCTCAGCACACTGCAACCTCCACCTCCCAGGTTCAAGCAATTCTCCTGCCTCAGCCTCCTGAGTAGCTGGGATTACAGGCACCTGCCACCATGCCTGGCTAATTTTTTGTATTTTGAGTAGAGATGGGGTTTCACCATGTTGGTCAGGCTGGTCTTGAACTGTGACCTCAGGTGATCCATACACCTCGGCCTCCCAAAGTGCTGGGATTACAGGCATGAACCACCTGGCCCAGCTATGTATCTATCTATCTATCTATCTATCTATCTATCTATCTATCTATCTATTTATTGTTTTTGAGGCAGAGTCTCTGTTGCCCAGGCTGGAATGCAGTGGCATGATCTCGGCTTATCCCAAACTCTGCCTCCCGGGTTCAAGCGATTCTCCTGCCTCAGCCTCCCGAGTAGCTGGGACTATAGGCATGCGCCACCATGCTGGGCTAATTTTTTTTTTTTTTAGTAGAGTTGAGGTTTCACTGTCTTGAGCAGGCTTGTCTCGAACTCCTGACCTTGTGATCCACCTGCCTTGGCCTCCCAAAGTGCTGGGACTACAGGCATGAACTACTGCGCCTGGCCTATTTGTTTATTTTCAACAAACATTTAGTATTTGCTTCTCTTCTTTCCTAAATAGCAGCTGGCACCCATAAACATCTTGAGGGAAGGATTTTGTTGTTGTTGTGTTTTTTTATTTTATTTTTTATTTGTTTTTAGAGATGGGATTTCATCATGTTGGTCAGGCTGGTTTCGAACTCCTGACCTCGTGATCCTGCCACCTTAGCCTCCCAAAGTGCTGGGATTACAGGCATGAGCCACAGTGCCTGGCCTGCTTTTTTTTTTTTTTTTGACACATGGTGTCACTCTGTCACCCAGGCTGGAGTGCAGTGGGTGTAATCATAGCTCACTGCAGCTTCGACCTCCTAGGTACAAGTGAACCTCCTGCCTCAGCCTCCCAAGTAGCTGGTACTACAGGTGTGCACCACCATGCCCAGCTTATGTTTACAATTTTTTTAGAGACAAAGTCTTGCTATGTTGTCCAGGCTGGTTTCGAACTCCTGAGCTCAAGCGATCCTCCCAACTGGGCCTCCTAAAGTGCGGGATTACCACGTGAGCTACAGTGCCCAGCCAGAAGGCTACATTTTATGGGGGAGGATCTCCGTATTCATTTTGATTCTGTTGAAGGTCTAGGCGATCATAGCTTAGTCCTCATAGGGCTAGAAGGGCCTTGATTTAGAAAATGTGTAATTATGCCAGGTGAGGAGGCTCATGCCTTTAATCTCAGCACTTTGGGAGGCCAAGGCAGGAAGATCACTTCAGGTCAGGAGTTCGAGACCAGCCCGGCCAACATGTTGAAATCCTGTCTCTACTAAAAACACAAAAATTAGGCGGAGTGGTGCACACCTGTAGTCCCAGCTACTTTGGGAGGCTTAAGCAGGAGAATCACTTGAGCTTGGGAGGCCGAGGTTGCGGTGAGCCAAGATAGTGCCACCGCATTCCAGCCTCAGGTTGCAGTGAGCCGAGATCACGCCACTGCACTCCAGCTTGGCGACAGAACAAGACTCTGTCTCAAAAAAAAAAAAAAAAAAAAAAGAACATAGGTGATGGCCAAGTATGGTGGCTCACACCTATAATCCCAGCCTTTTGGGAGGCTGAGTTGGGTAGATGGCTTCAGCCCAGGAGTTCAAGGCCAGCCTGGGCAACATGGCAAAACCTATTTCTACCAAAATAATAAAATTAGCCAGGTGTGGTGGCATGTGCTTGTAGTCCCAGCTGTTTGGGAGGCTGAGATGGGAGGATTGCTTGAGTCCAGGATGTCGAGGCTGCAGTGAACTGTGACTCTATGACTGTACCACTGCCCTCCAGGATGGGGAACAGAGTGAGACACTGTCTCAGAAAAAAAAAAGAATTTAGTCGTTATAAGTTTGTTAATTTTGCTGGGTGCGGTGGCTCACACCTTTAATCCTAGCACTTTGGGAGGCCGAGGTGGGTGGATCACCTGAGATCAAGAGTTCAAGACCAGCCTGGCCATCATGGTGAAACCCCATCTTTAAAAAAATAATAATAATTAAAAAAATAAATAAGTTTGTTAATTTCAAGTATTTTATATCAGGTCGCATCTGAACCGAGAGCATTTACTGTACCCAGCGTGGAACTCTCCAGTGCAAAGCCTTCTCAGACATCATGCCTGCCAACCTCCCTAGCAGCAGACAGGACCTTTCACAGCGCTCGCTCAAGAGCACAGTCCCTGCAGAGTCTCGTTTCTGATGACACCGCCTCCCACATGCCGTCAGTTTCCATCACAGGCGCCTCTTCGAAATCAGTCTCTTTAAAGATGGGGCATGTCAAGCTTGCGTCCTCCCCTGAAGGGAGTGAGGCTGAGTCTGTAGATGAGTCAGTTTCAGAAGGTGCTGATGACAGCCTCGACGGTAATCCCAATCTCAGTGCAAAACCAGTACCTTGGGCAGGAAGGGCGAGGCCACCTTTAGCATCCCCGATGTGGTGGTCACAGCGCATTTCCACAGGCAGGAAATTTTGAGCGACATCACACTCAGCTTTCTTTTTTTTGTTTGTTTTTTAATTCTGAGACGGAGTCTGACTCTATCATGAAGGCTGGAGTGCTGTGGCACGATCTCGGCTCACTGCAACCTCTGCCTCCTGGGTTCAAGCGATTCTTCTGCCTCAGCCTCCCGAGTAGCTGGGACTATAGGCATGCACCACCATGACTGGCTAATTTTTGTATTTTTTTTTTGAGATGGCGTTTCGCTCTTGTTACCCAGGCTGGAGTGCAATGGCGCGATCTTGGCTCACTGCAACCTCCGCCTCCTGGGTTCAGGCAATTCCCCTGCCTCAGCCTCCTGAGTAGCTGAGATTACATGCACGTGCCACCATGCCCAGCTAATTTTTTGCATTTTTAGTAGAGACGGGGTTTCACCATGTTGACCAGGATGGTCTTGATCTCTTGACCTCGTGATCCACCTGCCTTGGCCTCCCGAAGTGCTGGGATTACAGGCTTGAGCCACCACGTCCAGCCTAATTTTTGTATTTTTTTAGTAGAAATGGGGTTTTACCATATTAGGCTGGTCTGAAACTCCTGACCTCGTGATCCGATGCCTGCCTCGGCCTCCCAGGAGGTCAAGATATCAAGACCATCCTGGCTAACGTGGTGAAACCCCATCTCTACTAAAAATACAAAAATTAGCTGGGCATGGTAGTGAGGGGGCTGAGGCAGGAGAAATTGCTTGAACCTGGGAGGCGGAGGCTGCAGTGAGCCGAGATCACACCACTGCACACCAGCCTGGGTAACAAGAGCAAAACTCCGTCTCAAAAAAAAAAAAAAATTTAAGACCCCAAAACCTGCTAGAGCACTAGAATCTCCAACTCCACACTCCTGGGTCCCGGCACACACTTCGTTCAGGCACCAGCCTCCACCCTAAGGTTCTGCAGTGCCTTTCACTTGCTGCACTGTGTGTTTTGTTTTATTTTATTTTCCAGAACTCACAGTCTATTAACTTGCTGTAAATGACAACATAGGATGCTTTGGGGCCATGTCTCAGGTCTGCCCCTGCCCCGCAGTCTGTCCCCTGCTTCCTCCCCAGCTGGCTGGTGTCCCGCTGCCTCCCACCCCTTACACCACACTTGCACTTCTCACACCTTCCTGCAGTGCGCTTTGATCAGCTGCTAGTCTGTCTAGACCCGGGGCCAGCGGGGCCTGTCTTCTGTCTTTAAAGCTTTCTCGGAAGGCAGCCATGCTTCTTCCTTCACATCTTGTCTATGGCTGCCTTCACACTATGACTGTGGAGCTGAGTAGTCACAACTGACACACTGTCCCCAAAAGCTGGACAGGTGCACACCACCATGCCAGGCTAATGTTTTAATTTTTTTGTAGAGATGGGGTCTCACTATGTTGCCCAGGCTGGTCTCAAACACCTGGGGTCAAGCGATCATCCTGCCTCAACCTCCCAAAGTGCTGGGATTGCAGGTGTGAACCACTATGCCCTGCCTCTCCTAGTCCTGTAGAGAAAAGGTGTGCTAACTCCTGGGCTGGTGTTTTGAGAACTGCATGTCTTCATATCTTTCTAAACGTTTATGGAAGATTAGTCTGGGCGCTGTGGCTCATGCCTGTAATCCCAGTGCTTTGACAGACTGAAGCAGGCAATTCACTTGAGTGTAGGAGTTTGAGACCAGCCTGGCCAAATGGTGAAATTCTGTCTCTGCTAAAAATACAAAACTTAGCAGGGCAAGGTGGCAGGCACCTGTAATCCCAGCTACCCGGGAGGTTGAGGTGGGAGAATCACTTAAACTTGGGAGGCGGAGGTTGTGGTGAGCAAAGATCGTGCCATTGCATTCCAGCCTGGGTGACAGAGTGAAACTCTATCTCAAAAAAAAAAGGGCCGGGCGCGGTGGCTCACGCCTGTAATCACAACACTTTGGGAGGCCGAGACGGGCGGATCACGAGGTCAAGAGATCAAGACCATCCTGGGCAACATAGTGAAACCCTGTCTCTATTACAACGTAAAAATTAGCTGGGCGTGGTGGTGCGCGTCTGTAGTCCCAGCTGCTTGGGAGGCTGAGGCAGGAGAATTGCTTGAACCCGGGAGGCGGAGGTTGCAGTGAGCAGAGATCGCGCCACTGCACTCCAGCCTGGCGCCTGGTGACAGAACGAGACTCTGTCTCAAAAAAAAAAAAAAAAAAAAAGAAATATGGAAGATTTTAAAAACATTATGGAGTAAATAAAGGAGTAAATGTAAATGCTGTACTATTTTTTGAATTACAGCGTTCAGAATAAATGTTTTATCGCTTGACGATCTGGCTCCCATAGTCAGTGAGAACTCAGATCTGGAACGGGAGGTAAGTACAACAAAGTCAGTTTTCATTGTCGATTGTTTTTTGCTTTAAAAAATTTAAGTATAGGCGGGGTCTCACTCTGTTGCCCAGGCTAGCCTCAAACTGGGCCCAAGCAATCCTCCCCACTCGGCCTCCCAAAATGCTGGGATTACAGGTGCGAGCCGCCATTCCCTGCCCAATGTCGATTCTTTTGGATCTGTCTACCTCAGCCTCCCAAAGCACTGGGATGAGCCACTGTGCCTGGCCTAAGTTTTTTTCTTATAGAGATAGGGTCTTGCTGTGTTGCCCAGGCAGGTCTTGAACTCCTGAGCTCCAAGGATTCTACCACTCAGTCTCCTGAAGTCCTTAAGTCCATGATGAAATTTTTTTTTTTTTGAGATGGAGTTTGGCTCTTGTTGCCCAGGCTGGAGTGCAGTGGTGCAATCTTGGCTCACCACAACCTCCACCTCCTGGGTTCAAGCAATTCTCCTGCCTTAGCCTCCCAACGAGCTGGGATGACAGGCGTGAGCCACCATGCCCAGCCAATGAAATGTTAAATGCCATCCATGCCACCTAAGCATGCATCACACCCTCTGGGTTCCCTGCAGCCCCGTGGACATCCCATGCTGAAGACTCAGGAGTTCTGTTGAGAATACTTCATGCCCACACCTAATGAGGACCCAGTGTGTCCCCTTGCCTGCTGGAGTGCCGGAGGTCCCCAGCTCCTAGGAATGCGGTGATCCTAGCATGTTGATCTTTTCGAAACACTTCTCAGCCACCTCTACCATTCCTCATTTTAGGAGGAAAGTGCTCACAGGGAAAAAACAGCTGGCACAATCTTCAGAGCCAAGGCATCTGCTGGGCAGGATGCCCCAAGGCCTGCCCAGGCGAGGAGCTGGGCATTGCAGGGAAAGTCTGCCTCTGCAGAGGGGGATGAGAGCGAGGTCTCAGAGCATCTCAGTGCCAGCTTGGCTCCTGGTGTCCGGCCGGACAGCGCTTCCAGCATGCAGCCGCCATCTGAAGCCCCCATGGTGAACTCAGTCAGCTCAGCCTATTCTGAGGATTTTGAAAACTCTCCAAGTCTGACGGCATCTGAGCCAGCTGCCCATTCCAGGGAGTCTCTTGACAGAACATTGGACATTCTGTCTGAATCTTCTTCCAGTGTGAAGACAGACCTTCCACAAACAGCCGAGTCTAGGAAAATGCCGGGCAGGCACGTGACAAGAGTCCTTGTGAAGGACACAGCTGTGCAGACACCCGATCCCGCCTTCACCTACGAGTGGACCAAGGGTGAGCATGGTGGCCTGCAGGGGCTGGGGTAGCCAGGACAGGAGCTCAGTGTGTGGTTTACAGCATCCCAGGAGACGTGGGAGAGCTCAGGTTCCAGAGATTTGGGCTCTTAATAAAATCACCTGGGAGTGGGGGTAGGCCGGGCGCGGTGGCTCATGCCTGTAATCCCAGCACTTTGGGAGGCCGAGGTGGGCAGATCATTTGAGGTCAGGAGTTCGAGACCAGCCTGGCCAACATGGCGAACCCCCTGTCTCTACTAAAAATACAAAAATTAGCCAGATGTGGTAGTGCATGCCTGTAATCCCAGCTACTCGGGAGGTTGAGGCACGAGAATCGCGTGATCCTGGATGGCAGAGGTTGCAGTGAGCTGAGGTTGTGTCACTGTACTCCAACTTGGGTGACAGAACGGGACTCTGTTTCAAAAAAAAAAAAATCACCCAGGTACTTTGGCCCACCGTTTCCCATTCCATGGACGAGAGGCACCTGCCCTGGTGTGTCCCGATGTCTCCTACCCTGAAGTGTTCAGAAGGATGAGAACCAAGGACTGGGTTAGCAGCTCCCACCCCGGGTGATTCTGTCACGGAGGGACTCCAGCAAGGTGTGGAGACATTATTGTCACGACTGGGGTGGGGATGCTCTCAGCATCTGCTGGGTGGAGGCCGGGCTGCTATTCCATGCCCACGGTGCACCGGACGCCTTTGTCCTACAGCGTGAACGCCCTTCGCTGACTTCCCCACATCTCTCTGTCTCTCTCACTCTGTTTTCAGAGACGAGGTCTTGCTCTGATATCCAAGCTGGAGTGCAGTGACCCAGTCACGGCTCATTGCAGCCCCAGCCTCCCCAGGCTTAGGTGATCTTCCCACCTCAGCCTCCTGAGTACTTAGAATTACAAACATGGGCTCCCATGCCTGGCTGATTGTTATGTATTTTGTAGAGAAGGGGTCTTGCCCGGTGGCTCAAGCCTGTAATCCCAGCACTTTGGGAGGCTGAGGCGGGTGGATCATGAGGTCAACAGATCGAGACCATCCTGGTCAACATGGTGAAACCCCGTCTCAACTAAAAATACAAAAAATTAGCTGGGCATGGTGGCGTGTGCCTGTAATCCCAGCTACTCAGGAGGCTGAGGCAGGAGAATTGTCTGAGCCCAGGAGGCGGAGGTTGCAGTGAGCCGAGATCGCGCCATTGCACTCCAGCCTGGGTAACAAGAGCGAAACTCCATGTCAAAAAAAAAAAAAGGAGCGAAGGGGTCTTGCCATATTGCCCAGGCTGGTCTCGAACTCCTGGGCTCAAGCAATCTGCTGGCCGCAGCCTCCCAAAGTGTTGAGATTACATGCATGAGCCACTGCACCCAGCCCTGGGTCATATTTTAATTTTTTTTTTTGTAGAGACAGAGTCTCCCTATGTTGTCTAGCCTGGTCTTAAATTCCAGGGCTCAAGCGATCCTTCCACCTGACCACTTTGGACTCCCAAGGTGCTGGGACTGCAGGACTGAGCCACTATGCCTGGCCTGCGGACACCCCTCTCAGCCCCCGCTTCACTCTCAGCTCTTGCTGGTGGCAAGGCCCCTTTCAACAGTCCGTATTATTATTTTATTTTGTTGTTTATTTTATTTATTATTTTTTTTCGAGACAAGAGTTTTGCTCTTGTTGCCTAGGCAGAGCAGTGGCGCGATCTCGGCTCACTGCAACCTCCACCTCCCAGATTCAAGTGATTCTCCTGCCTCAGCCTCCTGCGTAGCTGGGATTGCAGGCATGTGCTACCATGCCTGGCTAATTTTGTATTTTTAATAGAGATGGGGTTTCTCCATGTTGGTCAGGCTGTTCTCAAATGCCTAGCCTCAGGTGATCCTCCCGCCTCGGCCTCCCAAAGTGCTGGGATTACAGGTATGAGCCACTGAGCCCAGTTTTTTTTTTTTTTTTTTTTGAGACAGAGTCTTGCTCTGTCGCCTAGGCTGGAGTGCAGTGGTGCAATCTTGGCTCACTGCAGCCTCCACCTCCCAGGTTCAAGTGATTCTCCTGCCTCAGCCTCCTGAGTAGCTGGGATTACAGGTGCTCACTACTACGCCTGGCTAATTTTTATATTTTTAGTAGAGACGGGGTTTCACCATGTTGGTCAGGTTGGTCACGAACTCCTGACCTTGTGATCTACCCATCTCAGCCTCCCAAAGTGCTGGAATTACAGGCATGAGCCACCACACCCGGCTAAATGGTATTTTCAACCTGGGGTCCAGGCTCAGAATTGTTTGTGTTTGTCTGCATTTCTGTCCATAGTTTTGCCAATTTAGAAATGCTTTGTGAAACACTGGTGAGGCTGTTTTCCTAGACCAGGCCTGACAGGAAAAGGGGCAAGAAAAAATAGCAGCCAATAAACACACTGGCTTCAGAGCCCAGGGAACACACAACACCCCGAGGTCAACAGTGACCCTTCGAAGAAAGGCTGGGAGACACAGGTATGCAGTATAAGAGCAACTACAAAAAAATAAATAAATAAAAAGAAAGGGTGGGAGACCACATTCTCCACGGCTTTCGGTGCAGCCACCATGTCCAGAGCCTCCACTTCACCCAGCTAGGATGCCTGTGCCTTGAGCCAAGAAAACCTAGCAGGAAAATGGAGGCAGCTTTGGGGAATATTTGAAAGGGAAAGAGGTTAAAAAAAGCAAAGAAAGGCCAGGCACAGTGGCTCATACTTGTGATTCCCAGCACTTTTGGAGGCTGAGGCAGGAGGATCACTTGAGCCCAGGAGTTCAAGACCACCCTGGGCAACATAGGGAGGCCATATCTCTACAAAAAAAACTTTAAAAATTACCCGGGTCTGGTGTTGTGCCTGTAGTCCCAGCTACCTGGGGGACAGATGGGAGGATTGCGTGAGCCCAGGAGGCTGCAGTGAGCGGTGATCATGCTGCTTCACTCCAGACTGGGCAGTAAAGCAAGACCTTGTCTCAAAAAAAATGCAAGAGTGGCGATCACCTTCAGAAAGAGGAAGGAACAGGCTCACGTAGTTTATTCTAGGGTCATATCTGTGGACCTGAAAGCCATTTCTCCGTGTCCTGCCTGCTCACTCCTCCTTTCATCCCCGAGACAGTGGCCGGCATGGCAGCCATGGGGCCTGCCCTAGGAGGCGCCTACGTGGACCCGACGCCCATTGCCAATCATGTTATCAGCGCGGACACAATAGAAGGTAACAGCCGGCTTGAGAGATTCCTCCTGTTAAAATTTACAGGACTCATTTCACCTGCAAATTCACACCCACTCTGGAGGTTCGGTGCCCCCTTGATTGCTGGCTGCAAGGGGTCCATTGTGTGGGGATTATTGCAGCCATGGGCACCTGCCACTGCAAGAGGGTGAGGTGTGGATGCCCTAGAACCTTCTGTCTCTTGCAAAGGGACTCCAATGTCACACAAAACAAGAGGGTGAAGAGCAATGCCCATGTGCCCTGCACCCCAACAAGATCACTTTTTTTGTTTGTTTTGAGATGGAGTCTCGCTCTGTTGCCCAGGCTGGAGTGCAGTGGTGTGATCTTCACTCACTGCGACCTCCGCCTCCAGGGTTCAAGTGATTCTCCTGCCTCAGCCTCCCGAGTAGCTGGGATTACAGGCGCCTGCCACCACACCTGGCTAATTTTGTATTTTTAGTAGAGTTGGGGTTTCACCATGTTGGCCAGGGTGGTCTCAAACTCTTGGCCGCAGGTGATCTGCCCACCTCTGCCTCCCAAAGTGCTGGGATCACAGGCCTGAGCCACCACGCCCAGCACAATGAGCCACCACGCCCAGCACAAGGTCACTTTTGTTTGTTCCCTTGGTGGCATTGCATCATTTATTTCCCCTCAGGACACTTATTTCACCCATACTGAGGTGCACGGCCTGGGTGGACATGCCCCTTGCCTCCTGGGCTGAGTCCATGTGGCCTTCAGAAAGGCTCCAGTCCAGCCTGAGGCATGAGGAAGGAGCTGAATGATGAAGCGGTCCCCACAGCCATCTTAGAGAGTTTAGTCTTTGCCAAGTCCAGTGGAGCCACTAAAGGCTTGTGGTACACATAGGAGTCCATCTGATATCAACTATTTATTCCCTTTTGAATTTTTTTTTTTTGAGATGGAGTCTCACATTTGTCCCCCAGGCTGGAGTGCAGTGGCGTGATCTTGGCTTACCGAAACCTCCACCTCCTAGGTTCAAGTGATTCTCATTTCTCAGCCTCCTGAGCAACTGGGATTACAGGCATGTACCAGCACGCCCAGCTAATTTTTGTATGTTTAGTAGGGATGGGGTTTCACCATGTTGGCCAGGGTGGTCTCAAACTCCTGACCTCAGGTGATCTGCCTACCTCAGCCTCCTAAAGTGCTGGGATTATAGGCATGAGCCACTGCGCCCGGCCAGTTTTTTTTTGAGATGGAGTTTCATTCTTGTTGCCCAGGCCTGGAGTGCAATGGCTCAATATTGGCTCACTGCAACCTCCACCTCCCAGATTCAAGTGATTCTCCTGCCTCAGCCTCCTGAGTAGCTGGGATTACAGGCATGCACCACCACAGCTGGCTAATTTTGTATTTTTAGTAGAGACAGGGTTTCAGCATGTTGGTTAGGCTGGTCTCAAAATCCCAACCTCAGGTGATCCACCTGCCTCGGCCTCCAAAAGTGTTGGGATTATAGGCGTGAGCCACAGCACCTGGTCCCAGCCAATTTTTTAATTAATTAATTTTTTTTTTTGAGACAGAGTCTCTGTCATCCAGGCTGGAGTGCAGTGGCACGATCTCAGCTCATTGCAACTTCCACCACCTGGGTTTAAGTGATTCTCCTGCCTCAGTCTCTGAGTAGCTGGCATTACAGGCATTTGCCACCATGCCTGGCTAAGTTTTGTAATTTTAGTAGACATGGGGTTTTGCCATGTTGACCAGGCTGGTCTTGAAATCCTGACCTCAGATGATCCACTTGCCTTGGCCTCCCAAAGTGCTGGGATTATAGGCATTAACCACTGCGCCTGGCTATTTTTTTTTAATTAAAATTTTTTTTTGTAAAGATAAGTCTCATTATGTTTCCCAGGCTGGTCTTGAACTCCAGGCCTCAAGTGATCCTTTAATCTTGGCCTCCCGAAGCGTTGGGATTTTAGGCATGAACCACCACATCTGGCCTTCAATTTTCTTAATAGGATTTAAAAAAACGTTGTGATGATATTAAAATGTACTGGTTATAACAAGAAAACTTGTTTTTTTTGAAAAACGTAAGTTTTAGTTGGGCATGGTGGCTCACACCTGTAATCTCAGCACTTTGGGAGGCTGAGGCAGGAGAATAGCTCAAAGCCAGTATTTTGAGACCAGCTTGGGCAACATAATAAGATCCCATCTCTAAAAAAAAAAAAAAAAAATTAAAAAATGAGCCAGGTGGCCAGGCCTGGTGGCTCATGTCTGTAATCCCAGCGCTTTGGGAGGTCAAGGTGGGCGGATCACCTGAGATCGGGAGTTGGAGACCAGCCTGACCAACAAGGAGAAATCCCGTCTCTACTAAAAATATAAAATCAGCTGGACGTGGTGGCACATGCCTGTAATTTCAGCTACTCGGGAGACTGAGGCAGGAGAATTGCTTGAACCCTGGAGACAGAGGTTGCGGTGAGCTGAGATCACGCCATTGCAGTCCAGCCTGGGCAACAGAGCAAAACTCTGTCTCAGAAAAAAAGAGCCGGGCATAGGGACATGCACTTTTAGAACTAGTTACTCAGGAGACTACGGGCTGGAGTATTGCTTAAAGCCAGGAGTTCGAGACTGCAGTGGGCTGTGATTGTACCACTGCACCCCAGCCTGGGCGACTGAGCAAGACCCTGTCTCCAAAAAAAAATAAGATTTCAGAAGGCAGCCTGGCACCTGAGCGGTGGGGGAAGGGCAGGGTGGTAGAATTTGTGGGGCCCTGGTGAAGCCACTGAGTGACATGGAGCTGGGGCAGCCCTGACCGCCTACAGCCCGGCCGTGCTGGTGCTACACGACATGCTGAAGCAGCAGCTGAGCCTGACGCAGCAGTTCATCCAGGCCAGCCGGCACCTGCATGCCTCCCTCCTGCACTCCCTGGACGCAGACTCCTTCCACTACCACACCCTGGAGGAAGCCAAAGAGGTGAGCACGGCTCCCCACGGGGCAGGGCAGTAGGGGCACAGCAGCTTCCAGATGCCAGCTGAAGGGATGGTGGCCAGGGCTGCAGGGATGCGATGGGGCCATCACTCTCTGTCCTTGTGGAGGGAGCCTGCTTTCTTACCACCCTGTGGCAAGAGCCAGTATGGTGGGGTGCTGAGCTCCTGCACCTTGCAGCCAGTCTGGGCTGTGTGACCTCAGACTAGAGGGACCTACTGTCCATGGCAGTGTCTTCTCCCGTGGGAGGGGTCCTGTCCCTTTCACTGAGCCTCCTGAGAGATGCCTGAGATGGGACTAGGGAAGGCCCAGCTGTTCTCCTTAGTGATCACCCTCACCTCTTTTGTACCCTCTAAGAATTTCTGCCTGATTACCAGCTGGGCACAGTGGCTCACACCTGTATTCCCAGCACTTTGGGAGGCTGTGATGGGCGGATCACTTGAGGTCAGGTGTTTGAGACTAGCCCGGCCAACATGGTGAAACCCCATCTCTACTAAAAATGCAAAAATTTTGCCGGCTATGGTGGAGCGCACCTGTAGGCTCAGCTACTTGGGAAGCTGAGGCAGGAGAATCACTTGAACCCGGGAGGTGGAGGTTGCAGTGTGCTGAGATCATGGCACTGCACTCCAGCCCAGGCGACAGAGCGAGACTCCATCTCAAAAGTGGGAAGGCTCATGAAAGTGATGTTGGGCCCACAAGCAGGCGGGGTGTGCCCAGGGATGCTGGTTTGGAACTACTGCCCTCGGGGCCCCCTGCACCCCAGGCCTCTGGTTTCCTGTGGTTTATCTGCTGAAGAGGGCAGGTTGAGTTCTATGGGTCTCTACATTCTGAAATTTGCTCATCGCACCCCTCTGGGGGCTTTGAACTCGTGCCTCTGTTGGGCGTCCATCAGCCCATGCCGTGCAGGCAGAAGTCACCTGTCCATGGCACCTGCCTGCAGCCCACCATAGCTCCTAGCTGCCTGCTCCAGGCACTTCTCACAGATCCTACCTGCTCCGGGGACACCAGCAGGTGCCCCTCCCTTCCTCCGTTAGGGCTCACCCATTACAGCGCTCACCTGGGTGTCCCTCTACCCTGTGTTCCCACAGCCCCCCGGGCACTCCTGGGTGCTAGCCTGTCACACAGCCTGCTTTATGCTTTAGTCAGCCTGACAGGAGCCTGCTGGGGGGGACAGGTGCTGGCTCCACTCCCTCCTCCAGCACCCTGAATGTGCTGAGGTGGCAGTGGTGACAGTGCGGTCTCTTTTGCCTGACAGTACATTAGACGCCACAGGCCTGCCCCACTGACCATGGAGGACGCCCTGGAGGAGGTGAACAAAGAGCTGTGAGCACCAGCAGGTGGAACTTGATGTGATGTCTAAGGAAAGGTACCTCATCCTCTGTACTCAGTGTGTGCGTGCGTAGTCACACCCTCCCTCCCTTCCTCAGCATCCAGTTCTGTGGTGGGGGCAGGTAGTGCTGGAGTGAGGGTCCTGCCCATATTCCTCTGAGCCAAATCCCAGCTCAGTGACAGTTCTCCCAACAGCATGCCCAGCTCTGACACCACAGGCTAGAGGAAAGGGAGTTTCAGTGGAGCTGTCCTCACTCACAGGAGAGGGGCCACCAGCCTCTGCAGAGCAGTTCCACCCAGGCAGGTCCTGGCTTCCCAGCAAGCCAGAGGGAGGCACGGTGGATGGGAAAAGCCCTGCTCGAGGATAAGGACATGGGACAGGCGAGCATGCTGGGGACGCCATGTGAGCCACCGGGCACAGCCTGACCCCAAGCAGCACAGCTCAAACCAGGACACACGTCTCCTCACTCAGCCTGAGCACACTTCTGACTTACACAAGCGGGGAGGAAGGTCTTTAAAAAAAGGCTTTATTTGAAGGCAAAACAATGAAATCCACAAGAAATTGCTAACAGCACGTATTTACGTTTTATCCTGAATCATAACGTTTTAAGGATTCACAGCTACAGGAAATTTAGAACAGAATCAAATATTGTATCACATTGGGTTGAAAACCTGGAGGATTTTGCATCTTATTGAAAAGAATTCTTCAAAAATGTTTTTGTACAAATGAATGGCATCGCACTAGGCTGCCCACAGACATGAGGTGTGGCTGATTCCCAGTAGCCATTCCCCAGCTCCAGCAGGTGCAACTCCCCTCCCTGTGGGGTGTGAAATGGCATAGTGGGAGGCCCTGGCTGGGTGGGGGGGGGGCAGGCTCCACACTCTGGATGGGACTGGGCCGTTGTGTGCACGCCAACCAGTGCAGGGTTCTTCCAAGTGCGAAACTGAAGCAGGGAACGCAACCGGCATGGACTCTGAGGGCAGCACTCGACCTGAAGTGCCTTAAGCTGGTTTCCTGTTAGAATCTTCTGTTTCCCAGACAATAGCACATGGCTAACATTCCAGAAAAAAAGTATCAACTTACACAACTAAAATAACTAAGGGCCAGTATGCCTTCAAGGAATCGGGTTTGAGAATCTCACTGGGCCTCCTCTCAGGTCAATATTCTTCTAAAACTAAACCAAGGGGAATAAAAATGAAAACCCTGCTTGACTTTCCAAGTCAAAGTTTTGTGTTTGTGTTTTTCAGTCTGTGGGCAGTCATGGCACTGGGCCTCGGCATTCTCCCTACGCAGCTGAGGGGAAGGTGGGTCAGGGAAGCTGGGGAGCTGGGGCACCGGCTCTGGCCCAGGCTGACCTCTCCTGCACACACTTCTCCTGGAGCCCGAGAGGAGGCTTTGCTGACTTAGGGCAGATGTGCATCCAACCCTTCGTGGGTGAAGAAGTCTTACTCGGGGAGCGGAGGGTCTTGTGTTTCTTGTTTCACTGTAAAGGAAAACGAGCCTGGGGCCCTGGTGGCTGCCGTGAGCATGGCGCTCCCACTGGGCATGTGCTGGTCTTCCTTCTCTTCCTGTGGGGCTCTCCCCTTCTGGAGACGGTGGGAGAACTGAGCTGTCACTGTGATCTTCCACTGCCACTCCACCAGGAAGGTCCCACAGCCGGCAGTGCTGGCCACCAGCGCGGCAAGTGCAAGTTTATTCACTTGCACTCGTCCCTGGCCTTCATGCGGGCGATGAAGGAGTAGCTCTTGTTCCTGCGGTAGTTCTCGTAGGGGTCGTCCAGGGCCACGCCCACGCCTTTATACTGGTCCCACTTATCCCGGACGTCCCCGCCCTTGATAGGGTCCTGGATCCCTTGCTCCTTTGCACCAAGGCCGCCAGAGCCACTCCAGCCTGGAAAGAGAGATGCACGATCACGACCGCAACAGGATGGCGCAGATGTGGGTGGGCCGAATATACAGACAGGCAGTGCAGACATGGGAGATGGGTAGAGTGAGAGAATCCCGCAGGCCAGCCCTGTCTAGAGGCTCTGGGCAGAGTCAGAACCGGCCTGACTCCATCCATCCCCACATGCCAGGTCCAGCACATGTGAAGACCCTTCCCAGCCGTCCCCATTCCCCTGCCTTACCCATTTTCACCAGCATCTGATGGCCTTTGTTCTCTTCTCCGAGCCTTGAGTCAGGGATGGGAGGTGCTGAATTAGAACCCAGACCAGCAGAGGAACTAAAATCGAGACAGGTTATTCTTTTAAGGAATAACTGAGACATTTATTGGCGTGACAGTGATGGGGCCTCAGAGCTGTGGCTCGTGTGTGCTCACCATCGCCAGGCGACACCGTACAGAGATTTTGTGCCTACACCCATTTATCCTGCATCAGCCGGATAAGGGGGCTTCAGCCGCTGGTGCCTACCCACCACACACACAGCATCAAGGGTGGGACACAGTGAACCCTGATGGTGGTTAGCAGACCCCAGCTACCGCCTCGGGCATGGCCAAGTGACTGCTGTGGGGGTGGTGAGGGGTGCCCCTGTCCCTAGGCTAACGCTGGCGGGCTCCTAACCACCAATGCTTCCATATTCACAGCAAAGCACCGCAGAGTCCCAGCGTTACCAGCATGGCAGTTAAGACAATCTTACGGCGGGGTAGGGCTCCTGGACCGTGACCGACGTCTCCTTCCCGGGGAGTACGACTTGGACCGGGACCGCGACTGGGACCTGGAACGGCTTCTGGAGGAGCGCGACCTGCTCCGGCTTCTGCAGGGAAGAGTGTCCATGTGTCAGCAGCAGCCAGGCACTGTGGGGAGGCCTCAGGAAGAGGCCTCGGGCACTACCCTCCCAAGGCGGCCTCTGCCTACCTGGATCTGGAGCGGGAGTAGGAGCGGGAGCAGGAGCGCGACCTTGACCTTGAGTATGAGCCTGATGACTTGGAGGATCTTGAGTTGGAGCGGGAGGAAGAACGCCCTCGGCTCTTGGATCTGCTCCGAGACCTTGAGGGTCCGCTGTGGGGAGAGGCCTGATGATTGGGTGCCCAGGTGGCCTGTCTCCCTGTGGGCTGGACCTGGCCCACCCTGGCTCTCAGGTTCCTGGAAGACCCCAGATGCAGGGGGTCTGGCATGGAAATGACGCCACAGCCACAGCAATGGTAAATAGTATGGCTGAACTTGCTGCTGTATTCATTCAGGCCTTGTGGAAAACAGCGCCCCACAGGCACAGGCTGCGTGAGGACAGACGTGGTCAGTGTCTGGGGCCTGCCTACCCATCATCAGAGGCTATGGGCCCTGGCTGCCCGGCCACAGCAGGTGCCTGCACATTTACCTGTTCCTCTTCTCCTGGCCTTTCCTCCGCCGGGCCCGCATTTTTGCTCGGAAGAACTCATAGAGACCGTTCTGCTCCCAGCCTTCACTGCAAGACATGGTATCCCGTGTGACCACACAATGCCTACGCATAGGGCACTTGTGAAAAAGTCATCAGGAGTTAAGCCACAGAACCCTTGAGAGTACATGGCCCTGTGGCCGTGGGCCAGGCCCTCTCCCTCTTGCCTGCAGGACATGCTCACACTGGGGACAGGGCTCTGACCACGGGCGCAGAGGACCTTGGCTCAGCGTTCCCACGGGCCCATCCTCCTGCAGCCCAGTGGCTCCTCTGGTGCCCACGCCCTTGCCACCCAGGTGTTCTGCTGAGGTGGTGGGGACCCATGGTCCGTGGCACTGGGGAACAGGAGCACTGATTCACAGGCGGACATGCCTACTGCTTCTGAGACGTGCCCCGTGCCACACCTGCCATACTTTCTCCTGCTCATGTGTCTCCATTAAAATGACCTTCACTGAGGGCCAGGTGGGTGCTGTACCTGTGACACAAACTTGTCACTCAGGGTTGGGGGTGGTTCTGTCCTGTGGGACAGCCACATTTTTCTAGCCTGGGCAGGAGGTGGCTGGGAGCGGGAGAGGGACAGAGGCCTCCTTCCTCCTCCTCCCTCCCTACCAACCCAGGACCCATACCTGTTCCTGGGTCTGTCATGGGATGGGGGGCTGTAGAAGGCTTCTACCGCGGCCAGCAGCCTCTCGCTGGGCGGCATTGGGGGAGGGAGGCGGATGTCTTTTGGATCCAAAGGCTTGTATTCATGGTCTTCCAGCTGCAGCAGAGAACCCAGCTGTCACCGTGCCTGGGTGGAGCCCCCTCAGGCCCACCCAGGGGTGCGCAAGGAGTGGGTCAGTGTTGGGGTGGCCTGGGCACCAGAGGTTCTTATCCTTCCCTCTTGGGGAACCCCTCTCTCTCTCAGGACTTCAGCCACACCAACCGTGGAAGGTCACAGCTGCTCTGAGGCTGATGACAATCACAGGGTTCTCTTCAGAAAACCACCCACAGGAGACATGGTCTCCAAACTCAGGTGACATGAATAACCCTGGTTTATTCACAGACATGAGGTGGGCCCCTCACGCTGCCCTCTGCTCTCGATGCCTACCCTGTGCTCCTCCATTGGAACACTCTTGGCCCAGCCCTGGAAGCCTGCCAGGACTTCCAGGTGGACGTCTGAGAGGGGGTAGGAAGTGGCAGTGACCAGCATCCCGTTGGAGCCCCACAGCCCCAGCCCCAACCCCGGCCCCTTCTCACCTCACCTCTTTTTGCCCTATGCTCTGGCCACCCCACAGTGGTGCCAGCTGCTGCAAGCCCTGCCCGGCTACTCGAGGGCCACCCCCCCTCCCTGTGTGCCTGACAGCCACAGCTCACAGGTGGCTCCTCCTGAGACATCGCCTCCAGCAGCCCTGGGACAAGGTGGCTTCTGAGGGCCTAGACCAAGTGGGACAAAGGGAGGACTCGTGCCTCCCAGCCCAGCCGACCCTGAGTGGCTGCAGCTCCCTGAGGCAGGAGGAATAGGAGAGGCAGGGCGGACACAGCATCACTCACAGCCACACTGTGCAACTCAGGTTTAGACCCCTCCCACTGACCGATCAGCATCCCCAGTGCGTGGGAGATGAGGAAGAGGTGCCCCAGAAGGCACCTGGTCCCATGTGTTCACTTTTCACGGGGAGAAATGGGACAGCAAGGTGAACGTGCTCGGCTTGGAGCCCACCGAGGGGCATTACCTTCACGAGGGGGGCCATCAGCCCGGCAGGGAGATCGAAGTAGGGCACGTTGGGGACTAGGCTGGGGTCGTCGTGGTTGATGTGGGGCGGGCCCTGTCGCCGCATGTGGGGGGGCTGCCCGTTGAAGCCGTGGGGAGGAGGGCCGAAGTCGGGGTGCTGGGGCCCAGCCCAGGGCGGGTGCTCATTGATGCCAGGATGAGGCATGCGGTGGCCAGGGTGGTGGTGAGGAGGCCCCATTTCTGCAAAACAGAGACTGTCTCAGGAACGCAGGCCAGTTGGATCTCCCAGGTGACACGTGCTAGAGGGGCGGGGCTCAGTGAGGGGCTAGGAGGTCAACCCCTCCTGGGAGCCTGCCCAGCACCTTCTCTCACTGTTCAAGGCCAGGCATCGAGGCAGAGAGGGACCGGGCTGCAACAGGCACAGCCAAGGGAGCTTGAGGTTGAGAGAAGAGAACCACAAAACCTGAAAACTGCAACGTGACGGCTAAGTTGTGACCCTCTGAATTCATACGCCAAAGTCCTAGCCCCCAGTAGCTCAGGATGTGACTGTAGTTGGAGAATGGGACTTTCAAGACACATGAGTTAAAATGAAGTCATGGTGGTGGGGCCTCATCCAATGTGACTAGTGTCCTTATAAGAAGTGATTCAGACACAGACACGTAGAGAAGCCAGTCACGTATAAGCCAAGGAGACAGGCCTCCAAGACACCAACCCGAACCTGCCAAACCACAACTTCGAACCTCCAGCCCCCAGATCCTTAAGGCCATACATTCTAACTGTTTAAGCCACCCAGGCTCCAGGACTTTATGATGTCAGCCCAAGCCAAAAATA